AAGTTTATAGGGCATTTGCTCTATATAAATATAAGTTTTTGGTACTACTGAATCGTACGGAGAATAATGGGTTTGCCCATACATTATATCTAAGTATAGATGTATACATCAATTCTTATAAAACAATTAATATAAATTATATAATTTAAGACTAATTAAATATTAAATTAAAATTAAATTTGACTAATTATTGAGACCAAAAAACTGGTGGTTGAATATTATTGATAATGACATGAGAGCCGTTAGTGTGTGCTTAAAGGATGTAGAAAATCTAAACGAATGAAGGTTTAGGATAAGAAAGGCCTATCCCAAATAGTTGGGAGAAAGACGAAGGAAAAGAAGAAAAAAAAGAAGAAGAATTAATATAAATAATAATAATTTTAAATATGTGCCTATTTCATTGTTATTATCTGTGTATGTTTTAATTAAAACAAGAAATCTCTTCTCAATGTTTTTATGACCCCATGAATAATATTTGCAATGCATTTACAAATTATCTATATTCCGTGACCTTAAACATCATAAAACGAATACATTTTTGTTTAAAATATATAATTTGAGTTTTTAATTTTACAGTTATTTCAATAGTTGAATAGTATAATTATTTTTAAAAAATGACTTTATGTATATGCATCTTATCTTTGTTCTAAATCTTGCTCAACGATTTGGAATGCATAAGAACCTATTATATTCTTTTTGTAAACATTTTTCCAGTAATAAAATTGTACTAACATAAGCAAAGATATGCAATAGTTACTTCAAAGTTAAAAGAGATAATTTTTAATTGGTTTTCCATCTAAAATGAAAGGAAAATTAATAAGTATTGAATACTTTCGATTAATTGCTGTTTTTTGTTGTTTGTTTTACTTTTGTCTTAGAAATACAAAATAAAAAATCAAGAAAATCAAAAATCATATACCATAATTATTATATTATTACAATCATTAATTTCACTAAATATTAAAATATTTATCAATCATTTTATTGTTTTTAGTATTTCATTCAAATTAAGATTAAAATATTTTAGACCTAAATACGTATTAAAAAATATTCTTACTGTAATTTAAAATTTCTATATGTTTTACTCAGATTTCTTTAAATAAATTATTTGGGTAATATGGGATTTGTTAATATTTTGTTTTATGATACAATAAGTACCTAATTTTCCACTTCAATGTTTCTATAGTTATATTTAATACAAAAAATAAAAAATTTCGTACCTAAAACAATACTGTCTGACTTCTGATAAGAGCTGCTATTGAACATGTGATACTAAATCATTGCTTTATATTGTATGCACACTTTATGAAATTTGTGTAGGTGCTACAGCGCTTATAATTAATGACTTACATAAAAATTCGAATCACGTCCATCCAATTATAATGAAACTTTAAATACACAGAGAATAATATTTTTAGAATATGTAGTCAAAAAAAAAATGTCTCCTTTATCACAGAAGAAAATGTAAAGCAGAAAAAAAAAAGAACCTACCAACAATTACAAAAATACATGATAAAATATATAAATTAAATATTTTTATATTGAAACTTTGCTTAAAATCGTTTTACCAAATAAATGAGTTCTCATTTCTTCAAAACTCAATACACCCATTACCATTATCCAGTTCGAGAACCAAAGGAACGAATGCCGTACTACCGACACCATTATTTTACCGACTTTTCCTGGTAGTTTTCTCACAAACACTTCGTTACCGTTAACGTTATTCTAATGATTTATGTAACATATTAACAACGGTAAGTCTTATTCTAAATTTACCAACGGGAAAATAAAACAATAAAATCATGGCTTTTTAATTCATACGTGCGTGCGAATATTGTAATATCGACACGAAATTCAACGGCGTCGTGATGCGTGTGCACAATTCTCACGTAGGCGTATTTAATATACAAACATTCATATCAGACATCAGCTACCTACCTAGATTAAATACTATTGTTATTAACGCGTGAAGACACATAATAATCATATGATTAACTTACTCGGTCGAAAAAAATAAATAAACACTCGGAAGTAGGTTAAAGGAAAAAAATGAAAAAAAACAATGATCATCACGGCAGCCACGTCATTAGAACGAAACCATGCCATAGAAATGTACGTAGGTACATTGAAGAAACCTTAAGTGCTGTAACATTAAGTTATATCACGGTTGCCATGATAAATACTCATGCCCAAAATTGAAATTTTTTTTTATAATTATTCCTCACACACGTGTGCTTATCTATAGTTCTTAGTAGAGTATGGATTTTGAAGCGCTTATAAATCATTTTTGCAATTTACTAGCATTTTTTTTTTCTAATAAGAAAATTATATGAAAATAATTCAATCGTCATACCCGAAGTATAATAATTGAAAATTAATTTTTCGCAACAATAATAAAGATTTCCGTGATTTTTATGGTTTTGTCAACATTTAATAATTACACGCTCACAAATTATTTTGTTGAAATAAAGTTCAATTTTTTTTGTTTAATCTCTAATAGATTTATGTATGGGGGACCTATAATAATAATATTATTATTATATTTTTCAAGATTTCTTGTCTAGGAGTGCTCCATCATCATCAAATAAAAAGTGAAATGTAAAAGATAGAAAATAGATTTTGTTCGTACTAAGGGGAGAAGGAGAGAAATTTTGAATTTCTCAACGTTTTTCGAATAATTATAAATAACGAAGAAGAAATTTCCAAATAAAAGAAATTTCAACAGAGATTTGAATCCTTACCACTTAATAATTGCAAATTATGTCACGCGTTATTATTTTTTTTTTTAAGTTTGTTGGTACACGGTATTGACCAGAATAAATGCTTCAATCACACTTATAATAAATTTCTGATAGAAAATGTTATCTCGCTAAATCTTTGACGGAAGTAATTTCATAAATTTTCCATCAGTTTTCTTAAAAAATACGAAAAACTGACGAAAATGTATAAAAATACGAAATACCAGTTTTCGGTAAGATCAAATTTCTTGTTTTCATCGTAACTTAAAAAATATTTATTGTGGACATTTTCGAAATCATGTACACATCACACATAAAAAAAACAAAAAAAAAAAACACATTATGGTAAAATCAATACATTTCTCATTTCGCTCGAAATTCTAAATACTATAAAATTAATACTGAAATGAAAACCGAATATTAATTAAAAAAAAAAAAAAATTAATATAATTTCATAAAGAGTTGAGTAAAAGTGCTAATCATCGTCGTACAATGGGTTTTTTAGTTCATTCATCCTGCAGAAAACAATTCTGGCTTATTTGTGAGATCGGAAATGTTATATTTTATTAAGTAATAGAATTTTTAGGTTTTGTGTTAAAAGGATTTTCAAATAAATTACATTTCGTCATTATCATTTTCGTTATCTCGAATGTCTTTAAAACTACATTAAAATTCGCGTGTAAGTTTATTGATGATGTTGACGCTTTACTATTTTGGAAGTACACCACGATCTTCTTTTTTTAAAGTAGCCAAACACTCGAAAAGGCAGAAATCAAATTTTTCAATTCGATTTGATACACTGGCGGAATGGTTAATAAATGATCGTAGGCCCGTAGTTGGCAAGGGCGTATTTGAGGGGGGAGGGGGAAGGGGCATTCGCCCCCCCGTGGCACATATTTTTTTTGAATATAATACATTGATTTATTAAAAAATGTAATGTATAAATAATTAAGAATATAAATTACTAGTCTACCCAGTGACGTAGCCAGGATTTTTAAAAGGGGGGCTAACCACTTTTTTGGATAAGTAAGGTAAGAGAGGATATGAGAATTCACCCTTAACCTCCCCTCCCCCCACCATCTACCACTAGTTTCTAAACGTAATTCAAGCATTTTAATATAGTTTTAAAAATATTTATTAATATATAATTTATAATAATAATAATAATTTTGGTTTCAGTGTTCAGTCACTTGCTCCACTCTGACAGCTGCATCCTCTTAGGCGAATTTCTGGCAAATTCAGTTATTATTTCACTTTCATCGAATTGCTCTTTTTTATTTATATTAGCCATAGCTAACCCATTCAGTCTGTTTTCCGACATGTTGCTTCTTAAAAAAATTTTTAAGCGATTAAGTACTAAAAACGTTCTTTTTAGAGTGAAAGAGGTAACTGGTAACGTGGCGAATAATTTTAAAAGTATTTTAATGTTAGGTCGAAGATTAGTGCGATGAGAGAGTGAATCAAGAGCAGAATTCGGTTTTGGAATAGTATTTTGACTCCATTGTTGCCTCCATATGAACAGGTTAGCTCTGATTGTAGATGAGGTATCATCATGGAGATCTTGGACATATATTTTAGCAGATTTTATAATATTTTTATCGTCATACATATTTAAATTGGCCGGAATAAGTCCTTCAAATGGCATAACATCAATAAGCATTTGATTAAAACGAGCATCCATTGATTCTATTAAATAGTCAAGATACATTGAACATATAAACACGGCCCATGGGGGGGCTATAGCCCCCCCCTTGGCTACGCCACTGAGTCTACCATTATAATATGTTATCATTATAACAGGAACATGAGCTGTAGGTAATGAACTTGTAAATTATTTTTAAGTTTGCATTGAAGAAAAATTATTTTCGCCCCCCCCCCTCCCACCGTGGCCACAACTCAAATACGCCCTTGGTAGTTGGTCACCACTGGATTACTGGAGGAATAATGGTGGAGTATCGGGTAGTTTACATTTTGAACTAGGAAACGAAGATCCATAGCGATGCGAAAACAATGGAAAATTAATTTCCAACATTTACAATACGATAAACCGACATGCGTTCGATTTCTGTACAACATGTCGCGAGTTTGAGCGTCCGTTCGGTTTCGTTCTCGCACGAGAGAAGAGGAATACGCGCGCGGGAAAAAAAACAAAGGCGACGGTGTACCCGGTGGGTTCCGTGTTCGTCACGGGAATACGCGTCGTGCCGCTCTAGCGGGTGGACGGGGAAGAGGGAGCGTTGAAATCGAGTATGAACGTTGCGATAAACAAGTCGTGACGTCGCGCGGCGGACGCGAAACGCTCGTTGCCGTGCGCGAGCAATGCACTTCCGGTGCGCTCGCCGCTCGACGGCATCACTGCCGCGCGTACGTACCGCGTGCGTCGCTCGGGCCAGGTGATTTTTGTTTACATTATTCGCGACGAACCTCCTGTTGACTGTTCAACCGCACTCACGCACGCACAGTTGTCCGAGGTGCGTGGCGCGTGATAATACCGAAAGTGTAATATTTTTTTTTTAATATTTTTTACATTTTATAACTTCTTCTTCGCCGCCGCCGATTATGATAAGTGAACGTCGGTCTCGGCCACCACTCTTTTCCGCGCACGAAACCCGCTAGCCAGTGCGATTTTGCGCGGTGTCCGGTTTACCCACGTACTTGACCGTCCGTGCTCGTCGCCGTCATCATGTAGCCGTCCAATATGTTTCTAAATGATATCGTTCTCCCGTTGTTGTAGCGGACGTCGCGATGGACTATTACAGGATGTGCCAACGGTTCGGGCTGGACGCCGTTCCAAGTCCAGACGGACGGTTCACCATCGACGAACTCATCGGCGAGGGCACGTACGGCGAAGTGTTCAGAGCCAAAGACAATGTCACCGGTAACTTTATTTTATAATTATTATTGCTGTACCTCTCGTGCCGAAACCGTCATGACGATATCTCGTGTGCAGTTTTTCTACACACCGGCGTTTCCATCATGTAACCAATAGCTTATTGTTTTCCTTCGTTTTCCTACTGACCAATCAGCCTAGAACGTATGGTTTTTTGCCTACTGCCCTTATCTCAACGACAGCTAATCATATTATTTATTCGTTTCAGGAGAGAATGTCGCCATTAAAATACTAGAAGACATTGCTGGCAACGAGGAAGAAATCGAAGATGAATATCTTGCATTGAGGGATCTCAGCTTACATCCAAATATTCCTTCCTTTCATGGAATTTATTTTGTTAAAGGTTCTAAACAGCTTAATGATCAACTATGGTTTGTTATGGAGGTAAGTTGTTGTGTTTATATAAATTTACTATCTAAATCATTAATATTACTGTGTGATATCTTTGTTAATATTTGCATTTATTTTGAAGTTCTTAATTAAACGTTAATATATTTATAAACATATTATCTATGTACAATTGATAATTCAATTTATTTCATGTTCTGACATACACCTTATAATTTATTTAAATTATATTTTGTTTATAAACTAATGAAAATTAATGATGTAATACAATTAAAAAATAGAATTATGTTATAATTATGAAGAAAAATTTAAAGTATGAATATTGTTTTATATCAACATTAATCAAGATAATTATTTACTGTTTACGGTTAGAATTATACGGAAGGAAAGATATAATACGCTTATTGTAATAATAATAACTGTATGTATTTATAGGTATACAATATAATTGAATAATTTTGATTTTAATTTTAATTTATTGTTTTCATAAAATTAAGTATTATGTAGAATAAATTGATTGAATATTTGTATCAAAAAAAGGTTCTACAGATCATTTTTACTATTTTAAATAAAATATGACTTTAAAAATGTTAACGATAAAATAAAAATAAACACTGGATTTTTTCCACTAAAGTATACATTTTTGTTCTGAGGGTGATATTCATAAGTTTATTTTTATACAGTTATACAGTTAGATAATATAATTTTGTGAATATCTCATGTTAATCTTTTATGTAGCTTATTAAAAAAATATTATATTATAAAAAATGGTAAATGTATTAAAACCAAAATAATGTTATATAATATAACAAATGTATTTGAGTATCTATAATATATATTTATAACATTTTTTTTTATTCAAAATGTATTATTACTGAACCAATAAATAGTATTTATAGTCCTCAATTTAATTTATTAAACAAATATGTATTTATAGTTGATTTGGTTTGATCAGCTTTGTTCATTGTTAAATGATAACATTCGTGCTTAAAACTCTTAATTAATTAAAAAATTAAATAGTATTTGAATTGCTTTATCTGTCATGATAATTAATTATCTCTTTTGCATGGTAATATGTATTGAATGTTTTTTTTTTTCAAAATCTAAATTTTATTCCCATTCTAAGCACTGTTTAAGAATTGTATCATTGATAAATTGATTTCATTTTTATGTTATTAATAATGATTTAATATTTTTGACTTGTTCAATAAAATAATATTACCTAATTAATCGGTTTCTTTTGTAACAGTAATTTATCAATTTAGCATTCAGTAAATTATATACCTTAATAATCTTCTGTGTATATGTATAATCAACTCTGTAGATGAATTATGTAGAAGTTTTGACTGAAAATTTATAAATAGTATTTTTTCAAAATATGATAAAAAAGTAAAATTTACATTTATATTATGTTTAAAATTGCATTTCTGTATATTTTACCGTAATTTATGATACAAATGTAATAAACCATCTTGTTTTTAAACCTTAGAACATTTTTATATCCTGTTTAAAGTGTATGTATTCACTGCTATTATAATGTGCTTTATTATATATTTATCAATATATATTATTATTAATAATTTAATTATATATAATTATAGTTAATAATCTTGTGTTATTTTATAATGTTTTTCAAACATAATTTATGTATCGTCAATAAAAAAAAGAAACTCTTTTTAAATAAATAATATATTTTACAAATATCTTTATACAAAAAAATTCTCAAATTAAATTATAGAGAAAGTTTCCCTTCTTTTGGAATGATCATGTCACCCAAAAAGCAAAAAAAATTTAAAATATATAGATACTTCATATATTAAATATTATAAGAGCACTAAATGTATTTGAGTAATAAAAAAATATATAACTAGTGAATAAAATAGCATAACACTTAAATTACAAGTTCTTTTTTAGTTATATTGGTTTAAAAAATGAGGGGAGAGACATTGTGCCAGGATAGATAAAGCAATTATATCTAAACATACTATTGCCATTTTTTAATTTGATTTTTAATTTTTTAAATTAAAAATATTTTGTAAAATTGTATTTGAATAGTTAAATTTTTTTTAAATTATAAAATAAATATTATTTTGATATTTTGTTTCAGTTATGCCTAGGAGGATCAGTTACTGATTTGGTACATGGGTTAAAAACCCAAGGAAAACAATTAACTGAAGATCAGATCGCTTACATTTTACATGAAACTTTACAGGTAATTTTTATCAATTTCTGATGATTAACTTAGTTTATATATATTTATAATGTGTTTTAATTTTGTTATTTTTACATTAAGGCTCTAGCATTCTTACATCGTAATCATTGTATGCATCGTGATGTAAAAGGACATAACATACTACTAACTGAAGACGGACAAGTGAAATTAGTTGACTTTGGAGTTTCCTCACATTTAGGAGCTACAATGGGACGACGTGATACATCTGTAGGAACACCTTATTGGATGGCCCCTGAAGTAAGTTTTAAATATTAAAAACTATTAATTATGACTTAAGATTGTAGTAGTCTAAAGCTGTATGATTTTAAAAGCTCAGAATCTTATATGATTCAGCATTATTAAACCTTATCTTACATTCAATAAAATTCTATGAATTAAGAGGACTAAATATCCTACTATATTGTCTCTATTTGTTTAACGATCAATTTAGCTGTATTAAACTATACAAAAATTAAATTGTGATACTTTGGTATGAATATTTTTGTGATTTCATATCTGTATTGCATGGTTTTTTTTTATCTTATTGTATCTTCTTCATCAGACAATACTTTATAAAAAAATTGCATGATATTTTATCATTAATATATTCCCCTTTAGACTTTTTACTAAAAGTTTAAATTAAAATATTATCTTAGAAGCCACAATTACTCAAAAACTAAGGTCAAATAAAGGAATTTTAATTATCTATAGTTTTAGTTATCTAGAAAATTATTAACATTAATATATGTTTAAAGGGATATAAAATTTAATTAAAGTTATTTTGATTTTAAGTTTCAATATAAGATTCAAATTATTACCATTCGACTAATCAACTTTTATGTTCTACATGAAAATTATGACTGTCAATTATAGATAATAAAATGAGTTTATAGTAATAACATTTATCTACTACTATGAATTATGTATATTGTGTACATTTTTTAGTTATAGTGATAAGTATGTTATGTCATTATGTTACACACAAAAACAAATTATAGATCATAATATACTCTCCTGTATATTATTATTTGATTTAATAGATGTTTTTCTATTAATTATAATGTGTATATTATCATTTTAATTATAAATGTAATGAACATTTTTAATAATTCTAAAATTATAATTGAAAATAATGATAACATTTTAGATTCTTATAAAATTTGCAAAAATTTAAAAAGTCCTCCTATTTCTGTCATAATACCAATAATTATAAAAATAAATTATCATTTTATACCATACATTTACTTATTTTAAAGTAACACATATTTTATGTATATATACAGTTTATTAAATATTTACTTTATTATTATAATAGTACATATTATTTATAACTTAAATTAGATAATTTATTTTAATATGGTATGAAATTTAAATTAAAAGTTAATTGTAAAAATTGATATTGAAGATATAATTTAGTATTCATATTTTCTCTCTATATTTGAGAATTTATTTTCTACATATAGAAAATATATGTATTATATATATTTCAATAGTTTAATTTATATCATCAAACTATTATTCTAGTATATGAATACATTTTTTACTACATTCTCAATTTATATTATATGAAAAAATAAAATAGGTGTATGGTGTAACATAGTAGCCATTCAGTATTGTAGTTTAGTTGTGTCTCTAATTCTTTGATGAATGATGGCCTAACATTTTTGACCTAACTTAACCTAATCTATACAACTTTTATTTGTTAAAGTAAAGACCTAAACTACCACCTGCTATTAGTTGATTAAAATTAAATAAATAAAAAATACACTGCATTTGTAATATTTGAGATAGTTAAATTAAAATATTTTAGATTAATGTAAAAAATATTCATAAAGCTTCACACTCTAGTTGTACTATATATTATAAAACAAATAATTTCTATTTAATTTATTTTGCCATTCAATTTGATAATATTATAATATTGATAATATGTGTATTATTTATACATGTTAATCAGACTGAATACCACCTTATTTGAAACTTAAATTATAGTTTCATAAAATTGTAAATGTCTTAATAGAAAACAGAACGATAATTTATTATACTGTTGACCAAACTTGTCTTTATCTATTGATAAATTATTTTTTCTACTGTTCAATTTTTAACGGTTAACTAACATTTGTTTTATTAACACGTGTTACATTCAAGAATGTTGGCCAATTATTGTTTTGTATTCAGGTAATTACCAATATACTGGTTATAAAACTAATGGTACCTACAGTACAAGTTGATGAAGATAATTCTAAAAAACTACTCATACTAATCATGAAAAATAATTGTTTAATATGAGTTAGAAACACAAAAAACCTATTAAACATATATGACATTAAGCAGTACAAAACAATATAATGTAAAATAATGGAATTTAACCATACTTACAATTTTATACAGCGATAAATCAGCCTTTAATTTAAATTAAGATAAAGTGTATTTTTAATATCGGATAAAATTTAAAACCTATTTATATAAGAGATTTTATTCTAACTTAGTTAAATGAGTTTATTTTAGTGTAATATATTTATATATTTACAGTGTATTTGGTGCAACCGGCGGCATTACATTTGAATGAGGAAAGTAGTTTAACGCCTTGAAATATTAAATTAGGCAACACATTTATGCGCTGTGGTAGATAAGCTGTATGATAATAATATACAAATATATTTTACAAATTATTAAAACCATTGAAAACCTTTTCGTCCTCATATACATTATGCCCAATGAGTTACCAAAGTAACTGACTTCTTAATAATACTCATATAAAAGAGAATAAATATACAAACATATTTTTTTAGTTTCTAAATCGATAAGAATAATATTTATTATAACTTACAGTAAGTAGAAAACAAATTTCTTATAATCCAATAATTATAATTTGAATGACTATGCTTATATTTATTAAGTATATGATATACTTATAGCTTGTTAAAATTATTTATTTTTTTTTTATATTAGAAACTTAGTATAACAATTAGTTTCGACAATTAAATACAGTTAAGTACAGCGAATAACTATATTATAATATAACAAGAAGGAAGTGGAAAAATAACTAAAATTAAGAAAAACAAAACAAAATAAAACCAAGACAACAAAAATGATATTAACTATATTTTTTACAGCAAAATGCATTATTATCAAAAATAGTACATTTTAGTGAAAAATCGAGAGCTGTTATTTATTTAAATTATCAAAATTGAATTTTTGTTCATATAAAGAATAACTATTCTATTTTAATATATTTTTGAAGTATGAAATTATCATTTTACAACATTATAGCAGTTGAGAACAAAAATTATTCTTTTTTATAAAATGTTTGATGTTGTATTTTTATTTTTGATCAAATTACAAATTGTATTCCCGATAGTGTTCACTAAAAAACACGTAAACATCATTGAACAAATAATACTCTTCATTCTAGAATCCAAAAGTAAATAATTGTATCTTGTTTCGTTCTGTTTAACAGGATATTTTTTTTCTTTTTTGTATGCCAACATCTCGAATGATTGTTTTGGTGCAGTTGATTGAATAGGTAACTTAAGTGATTATGTGTACAATCTAAGATTGTGAAACACAATAAATTGTCAACACTGTCAGGGGTGAACTGGGTATCGAGAGGCCCAGGAAGTTAATTTACTATATCTATTATTTTCACATTTTAACCAATAAATATTTCAAGTGCTCAATTTATCTTTTTTATACTTTTGTATATTAATGTTTTATACAAACATACAAATAAAAACAGAAACATTTAAATTTTATATTAAGCTAATTTTTATTAATATGACACAATCGAGTGCCCGAGAGGTGACGGCCCCATATGCCCCTGGGCACCGTAAAGTTTTTTCTACTAAAGTTTCGTTGTGTTTTTTGTTAAACCAAGACGTTTTATATGAATTTAATTCGATTAGTTAATGTAACAACGTAAACTTTGCTATTTGAGTGTTTTAAATTCATACCATAAATCCTTAGAGAATTTTTAGACAGAGAAAACGGAGGGCAGGGCTGTAAAGATACCTGAAAAATACTCTGTTCCTGACAAGTAACCGGTATATCCGGTAAAATATCTACGCTATTATTTTTCGAAGGGACCAAGTCAACCGTCGTACGAGAGGCATGCACACGCCAAGCGCACGCTGTGCGACGGATAAACCGAGCATGCAGAAAACATTTATTCGCTTGCGTGGACGTCGTGCGTGGCACACACGCATCTCATGCGCGGTTATTCGATGCACAGAAATCAAAATTTACCGTCCACATTGGCTGCACGAATGTTCGTTGTATGTTCCTTTGAGCACGGCCGAAAAAGTCAACACGCCACGCATACGCGTTCGTGCGTACTCGCGCAAGATAAATGGGTAGGGTGCATGGAGGTCAGATTGAATTTTTATTTATTTATTTATTTTTTTTTTTTTCGTTACTTAAAATACTTACAATTTTTTCAATCAACGTATACAATCTTAAAATTATACCTCCAACGGTATACTGTTATACATCACCAGTGATGTATTGCTAAAATAAATCATGGATATTTCATGTAATAACTATCATATGGTAAGAACCAAAAAAACTTACTCATGAACTACATATCCTTAATTATGATTGTTTGATAACAAAAACTTGTTGTTAAATTATAACAAATTTGAACTTTTCATTAAAAAAATAAAAATAATAAAATATCCGATATCGAATTACATCATAAATCTAATTACAAGTTGTATTATTTATATTTGTCAAATTACAAGCTGTACGCTAGATACGGTCGTTTACTCGCCTATCATCAATTTCTCATAAGCTATACGCCATGGATATAAATAGCGTATTAGGTATACGCCGTATACCCTCCAATACAACACTGTATATCATAACTTTTTAGTAATTAAAGAAAAATTAAAACTTAATTTTACACAATTTATATATTGCAACATTTTCAGTAAATTATTATGTAATAAGTATTTCAAATATTTTTATATTTCAAACTACCAGTTCCCCACCACAAAAAAAAAAAAAATTAGAGGGACAACTTCTCTATGCACCTGTTATCATCAGTAATCCTGTATTGGAATTCTCCGTTGTGATTATTTATTGATTTATTAATGTTTATAAACAAGAGGTTAAATATGTTCTATATTGTTTACCTGAAATCTGAATAAGTTTGTTTAGTAAAAAATACTTTATGGCTGAAAAAATATCAACATTTAGCTATTTTAAATCCACGTATACGCTCGACTAAATTACTGATTATCACGTATCTGTCATATAAT